TGCACCGAGGACGACCTGGGAAAGGGTGACAGCCGCAGCGAGTGACAGTCGCGGCGAACATAGTGCGCATGTGCAAGAATATCATTGCTTGTTCATGTATGGGATTTTCCCACTTGTGTGTGAATGGCAAATTCGGTTCCCGGGAGTGCTTTCCTTAAATGCGCGATGAAGGTAATTGCGTGTGGAAACCATTTGCTGAATGAAGGTTTATTTTCGGTTTCTTTTCAGTTTCTTTTCGGATTCTTTTCGGAATTTGTCATTTCAGGATTATTATCGCTTTGTGGGCCACGTGTGATAAGGTCCATACACATGTAAGTACACAAACACACACGCACACACTCTGCTTCTGAAAAGTCCTCAAAAGGAAGCTTAATCTAAGTTGAAACATGCACATGAGAGCAGGAAGAGGGACCTGAATGTGAATCAAACCAGAGCATGGAAAAGTGGAGCAAGCTTTAGAGACTAGGACGCAGAGCAATGGATTCAAGTTACAGAAAAAGAGATTCCACCTCAACATTAGGAAGAACCTTCTGATAGTTAAGAGTTGTCCGACAGTTGAGGGCGCTCCTTTGGAGAGTGGTGGTGTCTCCTTCTTTAGAAGTTTTTAAGCAGAGGTTGGATGGCCATTTGTCAGGGGTGCTTTGATGGTGTATTCCTGCATGGCAGAATAAGGTTGGACTGGATGACCCTTGGGGTCTCTTTCAACTCTAGGATTCTAGGATCTTTTGGGACTATGCCTCTCAGAATTGCCCAATGAACATGGCTAGTGTCTACCCTGGCTGGGCGATTCTTGAAATTCAAGTCTAAAAAAAGGTCACTTTTCAAAGCTGTGGATCAGACCCCCATGGACAGCTTCTCTTAGGACATTATCAAACGTGGGCCAGAAAGTGATAATAAAGTGGAAATGAGGCATTCCGAAAATAAACCAAAAATAAACCTTGATTCCGCAAATGGCTTTCACACGTAATTACCTTAATTGTGAAATTACAGTAAGCGCATTTAACATTCACACACAAGTGAGAAAAGCCCATAAATGTACTAGAAATGATCTTCTTGCACATGCGCAGATAGAGGAACACTCGCTGGAACAATGGGAAAAGCAGGGAAATGCTCCCCAATGCGCATTTGCTTTTTACATTACAGTAAATGCGAAATTACCGTAATTTTGCAAATGCATTTCCTCCAAACAACCGAATTTCAAAAGATCTCGGTTAACACCAGTTTCTGTCCACTTTCTGTCCAGTTTCTGTGTGACGTCGTGTGAAAATGTGAGGCACAAATCCAGTTTTTGTTTGGGATTTGTGTGGATTAACCAGCAGATTTGCCCCGTGTGATAACGTCCTTATCTAGAAAGACTAACCACATGTCTCTGGGAAGCTGGCAGAGCTAGATGCAAAACACCATTCCTTCCTGTTGGTTTAGCAGCAGGCATTTCATTGACCTCTGGCATGGAAGCGCTGTCTGGCCAGCATGACTAGTGCCCATGGAAAGGCCAATTTTCCTCCTCTATGGGGCAGGGGGCATTACAAGAGATTCATCTTAGAGGCCCAAGGAAGCAAATAATCAAGGTCTGGATACTTTGGGGGTGTTTCATGAACTGCATTTGGGGGTTTAAAGGGCTGTTGCACATTGCACATTGCAGGTTGCCCATTGCCTATCTCTGCTTTGTTCCAGTTGCAGGGGCACACAAAAGTGAAGCTGCAGATGCACTCATCCCCACCTTATGAGATCCTCAAATGGCCTGTGTGAGAACAGTTTGTCAAACCAGACAGACCTTGGGTGAGATCCAGCACAGCCCTTTTTATGTACAAGTTATATGTTAAGACATATGTATGTGGTTTGTTCAACAACTGAAAAAAAATTGCTCTTTGGATTACAGTTCCCAGAATCCCCAGTGGCCAGGAGAGTTGGGTCATCTGGTAGTTGCAGTCCAAACTAACAGTATATCTATCTTCTGTTTGTTTTGTTTTTTCTCAGAACTCCAAGTTCTAAGGATATATTTATTTTCTTCATAAAGTTTGTATGCTTTTTTAAAAAGATTTCTTTGAAAAAACAGCAATAGCACAAGTCTTTTTACCCACTGTAAAGACACACACAAGTGCCTGTGTGGTGCAGTGGTTTGAATGTTGGACTAAGACTCTGGAGAGCAAGGTTCAATTCCCTGCTTGGCCATATAAACCCACTGGGTAACCATGGGCAAGTCACATACTCTCAGCCCCAGAAAACCCCATGATAGGGTCGCCATAGTCGGAAATGACTCAAAGGCACACAACAACAACAAACATATGCACACATACTTTCAACTTCTGTGCAAATTTCTGCCCGGCAGGTTTTCTAGGGGCCAAACTGAAGCACATTTCACCCCTGTATCAAATGCACAGAGATCCCGCTTAGGGGCCATAGGAGATGAGGACTTCCTCAGCAGTCAGGATTCAGGAAGCTTTGGTGTCGCAGGAAGAGGGGGGTCCATCTCTGGGGTCGTCCGCTTTTCACCCCCTAATCCCGGCTCAGACGCCTGCTGCCTCCCCTCCTTTCCTGGCAGCTTTGCAGAAGGGTGTCATTGGGTCAAGAACAGCTCTTGTCTGGCTGTTTCTCTCTCTCTCTCTTTAATCCCCCCACAGATGGGGAAGGAAGGGCCCATTGATCCCAGGCGGGCAGGAGGGAGGGGAGCTCTGGATTTTCGTAGCAGAGACAGCTGGAGGCTGAAATGCACCCGCATGCCTTGACACAATGCCTACTGAGGGGGATTAATGCGCTCATTGCGGAGGGAAGGATGGAGGGATGCAGAAAAACAGAAGAGGACAGGGCTGGCTCTCCATCCTTCATCAAAATGGGGACTGCAGTCAGGAAAGCAGAAGAAGTCTTAGGACGTTATCACACGGGGCAAATCTGCTGGTTAATCCACATAAATCCCAAACAAAAACTGGATTTGTGCCCCGTGTTTTCACACGACGTCGCACAGAAACTGGACAGAAACTGGTGTTATCCGAGATCTTTTGAAATTCGGTAGTTGTGATGAAATGCAAATGCGAAATTAAGGCAATTTCGCATTTACCGTAATGTGAAAAGCAAATGCGCATTTGGAAGCATTTCCCCGCACTTTCCCATGGTTCCGCGGGGTTTCCCATGGAGGCAGCATCTCCTTATTACGTTTACTTCCGGTTTTGCTTGGGCGACAAACCTGCTGGCAAGACATGAGCCTCTCTGCTTCGTCTTTCTAAATATATCTGCCTTTTACTAGAGATATCAGGCCGTGGTTGATGTGGGGTTTGTGAAGGAACACAATTGGGGCCAAAACACGCGTCCAAAGCAATGACGAAATGGGGAAAAGGAAATGACGAAAACAACATCCGCCAGCTGCGGCGAGGGCTTTTCTCACTTGTGTGTGAACGTTAAATGCGCTTACTGTAATTTCGCATTTAAGGTAATTACGTGTGAAAGCCATTTGCGGAATCAAGGTTTATTTTCGGTTTATTTTCGGGATTTCTCATTTCCACTTTATTATCGCTTTGTGGCCCACGTGTGATAACGTCCTTAGACTTGGAGAGGCAGCCATGAAGTTACTGCTAGATCCTCCAATGTAAAGATAGATCATTAATTACCAATATTAGTATGCATAGGGACCTTTGAGATTAATTGAATGAAAGAAGTTGTAGCATCAGCTTTGGTAGACTTGGTCTGCTTCCTCAGATGTTGAACTTAGGTCAATTGAAAGATTTGTTTCTGAATAGTATTTCTTGTACTATAAAAGTGATCAAAAAGAAGCAATTGGCACTGGACAATGGTCTAACAGTGAACAATGGCCAATAAATTGTTTAGGTTAAAATGTTTAAATTCTGACAGTCATGGTTCAGTAAGAGGGCTGGAAAATAGTAATCATACTTTTTCAAAAAATATAACTAAGCAATTAAAAAAAAAAAACAGGAGTCTTTTTTTAAAAGTAATTTGGTTTAAACCAACCTGGTTAAAACCAGCCAACCCTGCAACAAATATTTAGCAATGAGCCAGCATGGTATAGAGGTTTGGGTATTAGGATGTTGGATTAGCACTCTAGGAGACCTGGCTTTGAAACTCTGCTCAGTCTTGGAAAAACACTAGGTGACCTTGGTAGGTCACACACTCTCAGCCTCAGAGGAAAGATATGGCAAACCTCCTCTGAATAAATCTTACTGAGAAAATGCTTAGGATAGGATTGCCTTAAGCTGGAGATAACTTGAAGGCACCAGACAACAAACATTTAAATTATGAGCCAGATGGTATAGATAGATAGAGGTTTGAAGGCTGAGTTAATGTGTTGGACTAGGACTCTGGGAGACCAGGCTTTGAAACCCTGTTCAGCCATGGAAACACAGTGGGAGTGAATCTACACTGTAGTAATAATGCCGTTTGACACCACTTTAAGTGCTGTAGCTCCATCCTATTGAGATCTAAAATTTGCGGTTTTACAAAATCTTTAGCCTTCCCTGCCAAAGAGTGCTGGTGCCTCACAAAACTATGAACCCCAGGATCCATAGGATGGAGCCATGGCAGTTAAAGTGGTATCAAGCTGCATTATTTCTACAGTACAGCCTCTCTCAAATTTTCTCTGAATAAAGCTTGCAAAGAAAACCCTAGGTCAAGTCCACTTGAAGGCACATAGCAACAAGGCTTACCATGAAGCTAGAGGCATGATACACTCTTCTTGCTCTGTCTTAGAATTTAGGCAAATTAATTTTTATACATTTTTTTTACTTTTAGCAATAATCACCTACCTTCTGAAGTGCTCCACCAATATGCCCACAAGCTCTCCAATCCGGTTGTCATTCACTGGCTGCATTTTATGAAGGCAGACCACTACACCATCGTGGTTCTGTGTATGGAAGACTACCAGCTGATCCACGCCACTGGTCACACTCAACCCGGTCACCTGTCCCAGGGGAAAATAATCACAAAAGG